TATATTCCTGACTATGAAGACTATACTATGAAGACTAGAAAAAACTTGTAGAACAATTGAACAAACAGTCTTCGCTCATAGACAACTCGGCTTCGTTGTCTAATTGTTAAATAGTAAAGATTGTGAAAACTATATTCCTAAACTATGAAGACTATACTATGAAGACTATAGTAAAGATTGTGAAAACTATATTCCTGACTATGAAGACTATACTAAAGACTATACTATGAAGACTATACTATGAAAGACTATAGTAAAGACTATGAAGACTATAGGCCTGACTATTAAGACTAAAGACTATTAAGACTATAGTCATGACTAAGACTATAGTAAAGACTATGGAAGACTATAGTCCCTGACTATGAAGACTATTAAGACTATTAAGACTATAGTATTGCAAATCATGAAAAACTTTTAATAATGTTAGATGAATTAAATTTCAAATTTTCTGTTATTGGACTTTCTGAAATAAAATTGAAAGTAGACCAATCTTTTCTAACAAATATTGAAGTGCCAGGATACGATTTTATCTCTGAAGCTAGCCTTTCTAATTCGGGTACGGTGGTGTAGGTTTCTACGTTAGGAATGATTTGAAGTTTGTTGTAAGGGAAGATTTATGTAAATCAAGAGAAGAATTTGAATGTTTATGGATTGAAATAGATGCCTTATCTCAACCTAATGTTCTATGTTCAATTATGTATAGACATCCAAAGGCCTCTCTTGAAAACTTTACTAAATATATATATATATATATATATATATATATATATATATATATATATATATATATATATATATATATATATATATATATATATATATATATATATATATATATATATATATATATATATATATATATATAAGCTTTGTGTGATTTTAGGAGATTTTAATATCAATCTCTTGAATTTCGAGATTTATTAATACCTGGTTATGTGCCAATAAATTATCATTAAATATTCAAAAAACTAGTTTCGTTATTTTTCATCCGCCTCAAAAAAAAAGGGTTGACACTGTAAGCCTTAAAATTAATGACAATGTGATAAGGCAGGAATCCTACATCAAATATCTTGGTATCTACCTTGATTGTAGTCTGAGTTGGAAAACTCAGATCCATCAAGTTGCGAAAGAAGTGTCGGTTGTGCTGTTTAAAATCCGTAGAAATGTAAATACGGAAATTCTTAATTTATATTATGCTTTGATTTATCCATATTTAATTTATGGTCTGATATTGTGGGGTAATACATATGAATCAAATCTAAATCCTATTATTGTTTTGCAAAAGAGAGTTGTGAGGACTATATAACGTCTATAACCTTTGCTAATTTTGACGAACACTCAAGTCCATTATTCAAAGCTCTTGGTATTTTAAAATTTTCAGATTTAATTTCTCTTCAAAATTTGCTGTTTATGCACGATTTTAATAATCATACTCTTCCTCGTGCTTTTGATAACATTCTTACGCCAACCAATCAGGTATATCAATATAATACACGACAAGCATTGAAATGCGCATTTGATATGCCTTCTGTACGAACCAATTATGTAAAATTTAGCATTAGATATGCGGGATCTAAAATTTGGAATACTCTGAACGAAAATGTTAAAGCAATGAGCAAAATATATTTCAAGAAACATAATACGTCAACATTCTTAAACTCGTACTGACTTTAGAACGTGACTTATGTTTATTTTTGTTTGTTTGTTTTCTTTCCTGTTTTTTTTTGTGTGTCTGTGTTTTTTGTGCCAGTCATACTGTATCTAAAATTTTAGTAAAACCATCTGCTCATCCTTGTATTATATATTGATCCAATAATATGCTGGCCTATTTAGCTAGATTAGCTTTGCTATTCCAAATAGCCTGTGCTTCGATTATTTGTTTAATATAACTATATACTTCTAAACTATGTACTATTGTTGGCGCAAATAAATCTTTGAATCTTGAATCTATTAAGACTATAGTCTCGACCTAGTCTGTAGAGGGCGAACCGACCCTTATATATGTGTTATTTCCAACTAAGTCTTCATTCCGTTGTTGACTGCCGAACAGAGATGACTAGCAGTTATATCAAACACAGACCGTTTTTGGAGCTCTTGTGTATTTCTCGTCCAATTCAACATTTGCTAAAAGTCATTTTTAATCCAGAGAACTTTATCAAATCATATTGTATATTTTTAATTTCCTCATGATTCAAATTAAAGAGGCTGGGTTTTGGAGTTCGTCCAAATTATTAAATTATTAATAGCACACAGTTTTTAATGATCGTATTGTGTATAAATTATTCTCTAAATAAATGTAATACTTCTAATAATCCTTATCGTTTCATTTTCCTCATAACATCCTCAAAATTCAAGACGAATCTATATTTCCTGTACATGTGCGTAAGCTTCGTCTACAGGATGTATTAATGTCATGCAGTTGTAAATTTTATCAAATACTTTAATATACCATATTATTAAACACCGATTAGGTCACTCACTTTGCACGTTTCGTTGAATTCCTGATGTTCAAAGACGATGTGTTGTTGATCCAGTCTTTATAAAATTACTAAAGGAATCTGATACTGCAAGTTCTTTGAGTATTTCATTTCAAATATACCGGATGCTATACAGTGCTTAACCCACGCACTATAGCGCAGCCATGCATATCTAGAAAGAACAGTTGACAAAATTCTTCAAACTTCGACAAGAGTTACGATTTAAACATACAGATCTCCATGTTCTTGGGTTGTACGAAATCCAGGGGCAGGTTGTACGAAAGGTGCATAAGTTACCCAGTGGATATTCATAATTGATACTTTCGAGTGCAAAATGGAAGAGTTTGCCTTGGGGTGAGTTCTTGGCACTGTCTGGTGCTTCCCAATGAATTCTACTTATTCTAATGAGTAATCATCTAAGTTAAGGTTCTGGGATAAAATCTATCTATAACGGAAAACCCATTCTCTATAATCACTCGCCATGTAGTAATTTTAAGCTGCTTTCCCTTGTCTTGACAACAATATTTAATGAGATTAGACCTAGAGACCTTAGATTATAAGAATTATGCTCATATGTAACCTATATAATGTTTTTGATGTTACTCTTGGTGCATATCCACACCAAGCAGGCTGAAAACTTAGCCTGACCACGGTGGGAATCGAACCCGCAACCTTTGGGATACTAGTCCAGTGCTCTGCCAACTGAGCTACGAGGCCAGGGTGCGATTCCCACCGTGGTCAGGCTAACTTCTCAGTCTGCCTGGTGTGAATATACATTCAGAGTAACATCAAAAACATTAAATTCACCTGAGCACATAGCACAATTACTCGTTTTCCCAATTTCCACTCGTGTTGATATAACTGCATATCAACACGGAAAATGTTTTGTATTTGTTAAATATAAACGCGATCATGTGACAAAAAGGAAGCCAATCAAATGGATCTAGTCAAAACAAAGTCTGAACAAAAAATGTAAATCATATTACAAAATATACAAACATACGGAAAACTACAACAGATACATAGAGGATATTACACGGCGGCGCGAAAATATGAAATGTTTATCTTGGTGAAAACAATATTTTACTGGAGTGAGTAAAATATTGTTTTTGACACGAGAAGATAAAAGTCATATCTTCAAGCCTCCGTGTAATGTTCTGTTTATTATACAGTCCCAAGCAAAAAATTGTATAAATACTAAAAGTCACGTGACCTAAAAGTCACGTGACAGGTGCGCGTATTTTCCGTATTTCACCCCTACGAGTGACATACGAAGTTCGAAAATTTCCCGCCATTTTCATTGTTGTTGTTTTGAAAATACAAATGGTCTTTGGTTCGTATTTAAAACGAAATTAGTATAGGTAATCATACGATGGCGAGTACAATTAGGGATTAATAGTACGAGTGATGTTTGGAAATTTTGCCAAAAATTGGACGAGCCGCCGGGGCGATTTGTCCAATTTGTCCAATTTCCAAACATCACGATACGTATCACCAAAAGCACCAAAAGCACCAAAATTTGGTGCTTTTGTTTGTATTTTCATTTAGTTCTTTTGTTCAAGCAAAATTTGGTGCTTTTCATCTAGTTCCTCCACGGCAATTTCATTTCGCAATTGTGTTTAAAATACCTTTCCGCCATTTTGTTTGTTTTGAGAAAATCATTAATTGTACTGCAGTACAATTAATGAAATAATTGTACTCCTCTCAACCAATTAGCATCCAGTAATTTTGTCATGCTAATAATAAACGTTGGAAATAAAACGAAAACATTTAAAAGACATCTTGAGATAAGTGAAATTTATTCTAGTTCTAAGTTTGCACAATAACTTTAAAAAATATGGCTTTTATACTGGTCTTTCGCTTGCTTATTTACATGTCGTCTTTGTGTGTATTTTTGTCACTCTGAGTAAGTCCACTAAACATTAAACGGTTGCGAGAAGATATATATGTTATTTACCGGCTGCAAGGTCCGGATGAGAAAAACTGTGCCCGAGGTCTTGAAAACGGCCCGAGCCCGAAGGGCGAGGGACGTTTTCAAGACCGAGGGCACAGTTTTTCTCATCCGGACCGAAGCCGCCGGTAAATAACGTATTTATTTTTTATCAGTCATTTGACTAGAAATACAGAGCCTGCCACGCATGCTAAGAAATTTATCGATCCTAATTAAAGACAGTAAACGAGCTGAAAGGAAACTTTTACTTCATAATTAAGGCATAAAAAATTACAAACAAATTAGCATACAGGAAGTAAAAATATTAGTAAAATTAGTAAAACTATTCAGAACGTTCTTAAGACTTCCTTTGAAATGTTGCTATAGAAACTATCACAAAATACAAATAAACAAAGCGACAGCAAACAGTCGGCATTCGACAAACAACAGTAACAAACAACACGTACATACGTGCGTACGTACGAAAAAGAAGCAACTGGAAAAGTCAACATGATATTGAATAATTCATATACTAAAGTTTAAAAATCACTGATCGTGTTTTCTACAAGTTCCTGTTGTTAAATAACATAGATCTAATCAGAATCTGAATCATCAAGGAAGGCAAGACGTCTTTTTTTGGTCTGCTTCGAGGCATTCGAGCAATCATCAGAACCAAAGTTGAAGTTAAATGTGCAGCCATCGATCCTCGCACCCGAGAACAGTCCGGTTGTTTTGGACACTGTTTCGGTTGAATTAAGCCACGCAGAGTTGCTTGTTTGGCTGTGAGAAACGGACCGAACTTCCAATGTTTGCAACGGGCTTGATGCACTAGATGTTGGCCGATCAGAGGCAGAGCAACTCAGGATTCTTGACATTTGTCGTTGGTGTGTGACCGAAGCCGTCTTGTAAGCGTCGAGACTTTTTAGATTTTTATGCCCGCTCAACTGTGCTACAAAATTTGTGGGAACATCAGCGTCCATAAGACGAGAAATACAAGCTTTTCGCACGGAGTGGTTGGTTATCTTTCCCGAGAGACCTGCAGCTTTCGCGGCTTTCATAAGAAACATCCCAATGGAGTTCTTCCCAAGTGGACCTTTGGTGTACCAAACCTGCGAGTCTTCCTTTCTCTTATCATTAACTGTGAGGAAAAACGGAGAGTCTGGGGTTTTGGAGGTGTCTGGGCGATGACTGGCGAAGACTTTGTACAAATTAACAGGGCAACGACGGTTATTTGTTGCTTGTGCTGTTGGATAAAATGCCCTTTGGTGTCCTTCTCCATGCCGTGTTTTCGAGCCCCGCTCGGCTTTCCATACGAGGATTTCTTGGCCAGATTCTTGATCAAATCCCAATTCAACATCTCCCCACTTTAATTTCCTGGACTCATCTCGTGCTCTAAAGCCAAAATGTAATGACAGCGTCCACCAGACAGTTCGTTGAAGGGTCTCAGGTTCGTGGTCTCCGAACAAGCCTTTGTCAAACAACAACTCTTCTTCCTCCTCGGTTAGAGCTCTGCATGCTTGTGGACGGTTTCCTTTCGCGTGGGTTTCAACTAACTGTCTCTTTCTGGCAAGAAGAACATCTCTGGATTTGGCAAATTCTACATCTTTAAAAATGTTCAATGTCGAGTTAGAAAAGTTCAGATGTCGTTGAATACTGCGTTGAAAGGATGTTAAAGATGAAGGTTCATGGACGCTGCCGTCTTTCTTCGTAATTGTCATGAAAAACTTACAAAGGAGCAAGTTAAGTTCGTTTGAAGGTATTTCATTTAGTTTACGTCCTTCATTTCTAGATAAGCAAAAACGCTGCCAAATATTTAGGTCATACGTGGTTTTCTTAGTGGTATTTTCCGGGCGTTACTGCTCGATAAACGAGTCAATTTCAGCCATGTCGGTCAAATTTCGTTGCCAGTTGTTTAAAGGCACGCTAAAACTGCTTGGTGCATAATTTTCGTTGTTGCTATCGTCGTTTAAGTCTTCTGGGTAATAACACCCACTTTCGCTTCCACTATCATAGTTGGAAACTCCTCCATAGTTTGCTTATTTACATTATTTCAAAGTAATTTTTAAAAAACGAAGTTTTTGTGATTTTAATTTGTTTACATTTTTCAGAGCGGGCAGTTGCATTTCACAGCGGGCAGTTGCATTTCAGAGCGGGCCGGATGCAAAAAACCGGCCCGCTCTGAAAGGCCCCTCAGCCAATCAGATTGCTTCATTTTCACTGATAAAAAATAAACTGGAATATGACAACCTGGCTTGCTCTTTCTGTACTAATGCCGCTTTATTTCTGCTCTTTAGGAAAAATATATATAAACAAAACAGTAGCTCTTTTTTAAAATACAAAATTTACCAGAAAGCAAGAAAGATAAAATCAAAGGAACCAAGCCATTTTATCTATAGTTCTGATAAAAACTGCTAGATATGGTTTCAGTGAAAGGCAAAAAAATAAATAAGTTTAAAAAATGAAAACTGATCAGCAAGACAGCAACACAAGGAAACCAACAATATAACGTCTTTCTTAACAGATTTACCAGCCCAGAGCCCCAGATACTGAAAAATTATCAAACCAGTCGGTGTATTGCTGTTTTTTATCTCCAGCAACGTAACCAGTTTCTCCGCAACCTTTTACACACCAAAAGCTTATCACAATGTTGTATTGTTATCCGCCACACGCTTAATAAATGGCCTAATCAAGTCAAGCGACACGTAAAAATATGTGCATGACGTCACTAAGTACATGTTAGGAGAACTTTGAAGTTGATCGATCTTTTGAGTAAAATTGTTCACTAATAAATGGCCTAATCAAGTCAAGCGACACGTAAAAATATGTGCATGACGTCACTAAGTACATGTTAGGAGAACTTTGAAGTTGATCGATCTTTTAAAATGGCCTAATCAAGTCAAGCGACACGTAAAAATATGTGCATGACGTCACTAAGTACATGTTAGGAGAACTTTGAAGTTGATCGATCTTTTGAGTAATGTTAATTTGTAACATACGTCATATAGCGGAACATGCGTCATAGCGAAGGGCACGTTGTTGTTTGTCTTGATAGAGTACAAAATGTAGGGTAAAAATATATATGTTGTTTTGTATGGTTATATATGCGATTGTTTTTACCTTTTCAATGAGAAGTACGAGAGAAATAGTACGAGTAAAGAACGTCGATTGTTACAATGTTTTCTACTTATATTTATAAAAGAAACAGACAAATTCGTCTCGTGCTTTTAAATTGTATGATGATGCATTTGGGGAATTAATGTTGGAAGAATACTGGATATGCAGGACAATTACCTATTGAACAGTAATATATGTTTTGTAAATTTTAAGTGAAAGCGATTCGGAACATTATGACATCTTTCTTACTGGTTTCATTGAAAATTATAAAAGCGTGGGAAAATTATTTTTCGCGAAAACCATTTGTTTACAACAGTCGTGAGGTTAGTATATTAGAGTTTTAAAATATTAAAAGTAGAAATGGCTTTTGGAATATATACCTTTCAAAGATTGCGGCAATTCGTACGGTATAACTTTTTTGACCCATAACTTTTTGCGATTTCTAATAGCGTTTCTCTTCATGAAATCTGGGGAGGACTGTCCGTTATTTCCTCCTTCCAATTCTTTCATTTCCTTAATATCATTCGGTGTTAACACAATGTCACCCTCAAATAAATGTGGACCTAAATTACAAATAAAGGAATATTAATAGTTAAACATCAAAACTAAATTGTGTTTACATCTTACTAGATTGAGTATCAGTAGAGGGGTTTTGTAGATGGAAATTATCGGGCGGAAATTTTTTACTTGTATATGTATTAAAAAGGCATGTGGCTATGTAAATTTAAAAAAATAAAAACTGTTTGTAAAATACGGAAAATATAGCCCTGTGAAATTAGCAAATTTTGAGTATTTTAGTATTACACGCGGAATTGCCAAAATTAGTATTACTTGTGTCCCGGGTAATACAAGATTCCCTTATTACGTTTTCGTAACGCTTTGCACTGTGGTTATAGTGGTATCATTGATATTCAAGATGGCCTATTTTTTGTCTTGACCCGTGCAAGAACATTTAAAAAAGGGTCAGGTGCGCGATAGCAATTAGCAAAGAGCAAAATATTCGCGAAAACATTCAATATTTTCATTCCAGGCAGCCATCTTTATCAGTGATACCACTATAACCACAATGCAAAGCGCTACGAAAAAGTAATAAGGGGAATGGCGAATTGCCCAAATGGTGACAGAGGAACGTTCAGATTATTGGCCGATGTGAAATATATTGCTCTGATAATCGCTAATTATATGTCGTTCAGTGTCAGTACTGACGGCCGTTCAAGTACGACGAAAACGTAAAGCAATTGCATCAACTTGTCTCATAAACACAACAAATGCATTCTATTAATTAACAAGTTAGATAATATTTTTTACATATATTGTTATTTTTTTAAAAATTATTTCGTTATTAAATATTACAACGGTAAATATATAGGAAGATCACATAATCAACTGGAACGGAAGACGGAATACGAGGTGCTATATTTACAGGCAGCACACTATCTTTTACGTGAAGTGTTGCGTTTACGTGTGCCCAGTCTCTTTGGCCGAGTCATAAATTAAAAATTATTACGAGTTGAAAATTATGTCATGTAACAGCGCGTTTGATTTTGATAGAGTTTTGTGTTATACATTGGGCTAAAATTTTAACCAAGTAAACAGGGCTGAGTTCAACCCTGAGGTTGAAAATGTTCCATGTAATTGGCCCCTCAGGGTATAGTTTATTTCTTCATAATGCTTACAATTGTATTATATAATTTTGCTGTTCTGTCTAAGTACAATTTTAATGGAAGAAAACTGTCAACAAATAGCTAGATTTTGTCTCCCCCATCAAGCATCAGCAGATTGTTCAGTTGTTTTGCAATAGGGCCATTATTGTATTAAAACAATTGGGACAAAAACTGACTTAATATTTATATATGTGGAATTGTTATTATTATAAGTAATAGCATGGCTTGAGGGAGATTAGTGATTAAATGGCCCCGTAACCCGAGGCAGGTTTGCGGAATTCCCGAGGGCGAAGCCCGAGGGAATTCCGCAAACCTGCCGAGGGTAAGGGGTCATTTAATCACTAATCTCCCGAAAAGCCATGCTATTAGTTTGTAATAGCATAGTTTCGCTCCCATTTAAAAATGGACAAACATGCCCTACTTGGAATCAGCGTATTTAAGCTAAAACATTTGCTTCATTGCTTGTGGGATGTAAAAGCTTGTTGCACATGCGCACTTTTTACGCTTTAATCGGTTACGCATGCGCAATCTATCATTTAACGTGCCACAACAAACACGCTAAATATATTAGTATAAATTTGGAGACTGCACGTGCGTAATTTAAATGATGCGGCAACTCAGGGATCGGATGATAGACTATTGACGGCTCTGAGCTAACTGTTGCTGTTCCTTGCACGATTATGTGCGTGAGGCACTTGCCTAATGCGTAGTCGTCAGGGAGACAAAGGTGTGACCCTTGGTAACGGGCGATTAGTTCTAATCGCCCGCTCTAGCGGGCGATTAGAACTAATCGCCCGCTACAGCGGGCGATACGTGATTAAACGTCCCTGTTGAAACAAAAGAACCCGGGGCAACTATGCTATTAATTTAATAATAATACTTGAAGAATCATTGGACATGTAAAATTTAAAATTTTACATGTCCAATGATTCATTCAAGTATTATTATTGTTTATATACTAGAAATACATGCATGCAACAACCCCTCGCCTATATTTTCCAAACATTGTTTCAACATGAGGTATTCCTAATTACGCCAACACTGAACGCAGGCTCGCGTTGCCACGTCATGTTAGTCATGGCAACACGATATGCTTTTTTAATTTTTTTGTACAAACCGGGGAAAAAATAGATAATATTTGAACACTTTTAAATAGAGAACTATCAATTTCTAAAATATATAAAGTAGGTATAATATTTTGGTTTCTATGGGCTTTTTTTTAATGTAAAATTCGAAACGAAACTCTACGTAAAACGTTTTTAAATGTGAATTGACATTAATTGCTTTTTGCCGATATTTATAAACTTCTCAACTCGAGCTTCAACTTATTACTCGCACTTTGAAATGAAACGAATTTAATTCGTACAGAAAGCTAATGAAAATCAAATTTGCTTTCCTTTTTATCATGAACTTCTACAAAAGTTAATTTAACTAAGAAGCTTTCGCAAACAATGCATAGGAAAGACTTGAACAACAAAAGCAAAGTCTATTATAAAATACAATTGCAAAGTCATACATAAACAATTGAAAAAAACTTGTCCTATACTTTAGGATTTATCATACAATATCAATTCTTATCAATGTTTGTGTTTAAAAATTGCAAAGAAGTTGTACAATTTGTTATGCGAAACGATTTTCCAAGCTTTCTTACATGTATTTTTTTATATTTTTTGCCTTCTTCACTCCTGGCAAACAGCTATATTTTGAGATCAGTGATGACCACCGACTCAACACCGTTGGTGAGCGCCCACGATCATTGATGAACCTTAGACTTCGCTAATGCTAATGCTTTCGTTTCCCCGGGTGTAAATAGCCGGGGGGAATTAGTACCCTCGCACGGCGCTTTGCGTCGGCTCGGGGATAATATGATTTTGTACAGTATTTAGTTATTTAGTGGCAAGCTATCTATCATGGCAACTATAGTCATGACATGCCAAAAAACCTGCATAACATGACCTGTTGCATGACTCACCTCTTGTTATGGCTAGCTTCGACACTGGCAGTGTTATAACTATACTTACAAAAGCAAGAAGTTATAAGCATTGAATGTATTCATATACACTGCCCATGCGAAGAAAGTAGAATTAGAATTTTAGCTGCCTTTCGACCTTGTGCAAGGTACTTAATATTCAACTTGCACTTTTCCTATATATCCTGAACAGGTGTCTTAGGGGCTGTTTAATACATGATGGAAGGTGGGACGATTTTTGATGTTTTGGAATAGTGGCTAGCCTAAACATAAGCTCAAATGCTTGTTAATTAACAGAACTCAAATATTGTAGAGAAGAACTTGTAGTTCAAGAAGATTATAATTGTTGCTTGAACAACTTTTTGTTCACAGTTAATTAACTGTAATCTATCTCCAGAAAATAACGGTTTTTGGTGAATTGTCCACTGTGACTAATTTTAGTGCATCGAAATTATCCCTCCTCATACCTCGTCCTGGCGAAACTGGATCGTATGGTGCCAGCCCTTGGGGGTGAGGCAGAATTTTCTTTGCGATAGTAACTTCTAGTCTAGACTACTATGAAGAGGCTGTTTCTGTAAAAACCACCCGGTCAATTTCCACTCAAAGTATAAATTTCCCACATTCTTAAATATTTGACCTGAGGAACAACTAATACCAATTTATTTTCTTTTAAAATTTTTTAAAATCTTTTTACGGCCGATAAATTTCATAAAATTTCGAGCATCTAAAATACAGTATCACACAACAAACTACTGCCAGTGAAGTGTACATGTATTTCCGTTTTGACTGTCAGTAATATTGTACATGGCATTTTCATACGATTGAATCCAGATTGTATAACATTTCAGCTTCCTGTTTTAGACTTTAAATGCTCTTGCATGTAAGCGGTTTATTCGTTTGTGTTTTTGAAATTATAACTGGCGAGATCATCAAGGTTCTAAACGTCCATTAACGACTTTTGAAACTAGTAGCAATATTAAAGATACTGTAGGTAAATATTGAATTGAATTAAATTGTATTAGTATAAACATGGTACAGTAGGCTACCTCTCTCCTCCGCAGAGGCTTCTGTTGGCTATGATTTAATACGATTAGTATTGAGATACATCTCACAACACTTTACATGGCGATTCTTGGAACATGAGCGGAGCCGCTGGGCGAAGGAGCGCAGGCGAAAAAAAGGTGAAGCCGCGAAGGCAAGGAAAGGCGCGAAACTTCTGCACGATTTGCATCGCAAAGTGTAACAAAGTGTATACATCGAAACAAAAGTTGATTTAAGCTAAATAACATACGTCTTTTTTTGAAAATAAAATCATAATTTTAATGCATGATTGATTGATTTCATTGACTAGTGCTTGCATCTTTGTGGATGGTCAAAAGTAATAAGATTTTTCAACAATAAACAAATCAAAACAATCGTTTATTTTACTCATAACAAACAAATATTTTATATCGAGAAAAACTTGAATATCTCTTGGCCTATCGCAGGGCCGTAGGTCCAATTCCTACCAGAGGACCTTGTGCTGCATTTTTCGCAGTCGTTCCTGGTTAGGTCTTAAAATGTATATATTCTCACTTGGATTACAAACCCTAACATCCGAGTATTAATTCCACCAAGTGAACTGCAAGAATCTAAGTCCATCTCTTCGCTAAGTACGTTGTTAACAGATGTGTTCTCGCGAATTGGACATAACACTTTCTTATTCCGTAGAGTTATTAAATAATCTCTTTGTGAGCTTGTTGTGGTATTATAAAAGAAATATTTCCTCAGCCATTTTGACTTGGAATTTTGCGTTTAATAATTATACGTCCCTCCCCCGATTTTCCGCCATATTGGGTGTGGCATCGAGTAGAGGTTTCGCCGCACCTCTGCCTCTGTAACCATAGCCAACTAAAGCCTCTGCGGAGGAGAGAGGTATAGTCTACCAAGTATCGTGCGTTCTCATTGCCTACGCTACTAGTAGGCTATTAGTGATAGCCTACTAGTAGCAACAAGCGGCGAAGGGCGCTAGAAGCAATGGCGGTTTTTTAAGTTTTAAAAGCTGCATTTATAAAGCTTATCAAAATGGCCTAAATTTGGTTCTGGATTACACATAAACAAAGACTCTTGTAAACTGCTGACACTTACACTTACAGTCTCAATTTTGCTCGTAGTTTTAAACATGAAAGTAACTGGCGTTTTATTAAATATATACACATGAAATGTTTGCTAATATTCCCAGTAGAATCTTTGAAATTCAACAATTATAGTTTGTAGCTACTTAACCCTATTTTCTCTTAACCCTTTTTAAATGTGCATGTACTTGTTTTAAGTGCAAGTTCATGCATTTTGCTATCATTTCAAAGAGGTTTTTCCTCTTTTAGCCTTTTTAATCGAGTTTTTCGATTAAATTTACTTTTGTCAAGTTAATGTATACAGCCATTTCAATTAAGGTTGTCCACGAGCAAAGCGAAGCAAAGGTTGCCGGGAACCGCTTTGAAAATTCATTAATTTGGTAGCGATTTCCAGCAGCCTAGCTTTCGCGCTCGTATTCGACTTTTCCACTTTGCTCGTGGACAAACCTAATTGAAATAGCTGTATACCAGATGATGGAAATGGTTTGATTCTTTATTCTTTCAGATATTTTAAAGACCATGCATGTCAAGTCCGTGATGTAAACAAATCCTTTGTTTACATTTTGAACTGCTATATTTGTAAAATAGAACATATTAACTGAATATCTCACACTTTTCTGGTTCGCTATCGTAAATTAATATAAATTAAAGCTATAGTATACTTTCACTTCAAAAAAGTCTCTGCGTTGATAAGATGTGAGACACGTACATGGAAAACACTGTTCGTAAAAGTTCTTGATAGACATGCCCCAATCAGGGAAAAGAGAGTTAAAAGTAAGCGAAATGTTCCTTGGCTCACTAGTGGAATTAAAAAACAAATCCGCGAACGCGATCGCCTTAAATCTTTTGCTATTAGACATAAATCGGAAAGTTACTGGAACGCATGCAAAATCTCTAGAAATCGCGTAACTGATGCACTGCGAGAAACAAAAGCAGCATATAATAAAGGAGAATTTAAGAAAGTCAAACATGATCCCAAACAAGCATGAAAACCTGTGAATAAAATCCTTAACCGTAAACAAGAAAGTAGACAAATAAATTGTCTTTAAACACACAGAACGAACATCGAACGGAGTTTGCGGAGTGTTTAAATAATTATTTCGCCAATATTGGTCCAAATATTGCCAAATATATCGATAATGGTGATAGAAATTTCGAGGATTACATCACGACGACAAATAGTAGTTTTAATTTTCAAATAGTGTCTGAACCGAACTTATACAGACTTCTGTTATCTCTAAATCCTCGTAAATCTACTGGAATTGACAAAATACCTGCTAAAATTATTCGCATTGCTGCTCCTGTAATTACAAACTCATTGACAAAAATTTTCAATATGGCCATTATAAGTGCAACTGTTCCTTTTGAGAGGAAAATAGCAGGAGTCACTCCTACATTTAAAAACAGCCCACGAAACTTATCAAACAACTATCGCCCCATTTCTATCCTATACAGTAAAACGGAAATATATGCACACTATGTACTTCCGCTTGTGAAGTTTGTTGTGTAATACTGTCTTTCTGCAGCTGCCGCATGAGAAAGGATTTTGGTTCGGAAATATTTGAGTATGTTTTTTTAAGAAATTGACTAAAGTACTTACCTGGAGAAAATAAAAGAAAGAATTGGGAAAAAAAGAAAAAAAAGTTCAAAATTTTGAATTCGGAAACTTTTTATATAATATTCAGTTCATCTGTTCAAAATAAAAAAAAGTTTACAAAATTGATGGATTAGCTTCCCTTACCAAAAAATGCTTAGCAAACTTTAACTCATAAACAAAGACCAAGTCGAAAAATAATAGCATTCTTTCTAGTCGATTAATTTCAATTTCATATTCCGTCATACTGCTATATAGAACTTACGTTTACCACCTTTAGCTGGCTTAACGTTGCTTTTTCGACTTGTATCTTTATTCAGCTGATTATGATCCTCTTCAGCAGTATTCTACAAAAATTAATATACAATGTATGTAATAATAATAATAATAATAATTTTAAAAATAACGCATTAAAATAATAATATTCTTTAATTCTTCAATTATTGCTACAGACCCAGCCCTATAATCAATACCTTTGCCAAATAATTTCCAGAAATTTTGAAATAACAGCCAACGCACCACGAAAAACTGTTTCAAGACCGAGGGCACAGTTTTCCTTATCCGGACCGACGTTGCCAGTAAATAACGTGTTTATTTTTTATCAGATGTAAAAATTAAATTCATTAAAATTCCAGTGTCGCTTGCGAACTAATTTGAGATCAGTGCAGTTGTGTATTTTCAAAGCGAGGCTGACAAAAAATGAAAAGTTGAAAGATATAAAACACGATTATGAAACCTCGAGAAAACTGGCAAGAAACATACAAAAAGACGTATAGTTTCAGTAAAAAGGTACATGCTTTTTTCATGAATATGGTAGCAGAGAAGCTTTGGAATAAAAGCTTTTATGCCTGTCGTTTTGGTTTTGGCTTTGACAAGTTGCTTCTGACAACGACAGGTTCATGCATGTTCAAATCCGATCAAAAACATATAAAAATGAATCTGTTTTGATTACTAAACGGGCAATGAAAATAGTGCGTTATTTTTTTTTGTATTTTTTTCTTGTCGTTTCACGATAATATGCTTGAAAAAAGTGTGTTTTCAACACAAACTTTTACTTTGTTTACAATATTTATATCAGTGAAAAATGCACGACACAAATGGGTGGAGAATATATTCGTGACTTGTTTTCACTGCTGCAGTTAAACCTTCTTTTAAATGGGGAAAACATTTATTTTACAATATCTGTTTAAGCATTAATTTTTTCGCTTTTAAGTGACCGAATACATTAGCATTTAAAAAATATATAGTTTTTTCGCGGTAAGTTTTATACATGTCAAATAAGTATCAAAATATTGTCAATTCTGGTGAACATCGTGGTTAGTATAGGGCTTGATTCTGACTATCGTTAAGCTATGTTTTTCAAATGTTTTTGGAAGATTTTTTTGTTTAAAAATTGTTTCACTCCTCGGTTTTTGGCGCGAAAACCATTTTGCGTTCCAATTGCAATTCAGAGCGGATCGGATGCAAAAAAACGGCCCGCTCTGAAAGGCTCCCTAGCCAATCAGATTGCTTCATTTTCACTGATAAAAAAAAGAATTTAAATATTTGCAATCAATGTTTGATGCGAAAATAATTGATGGAAGGTATTTTAACAGAAGCTTAAATCTTGAACGAAGATTGCCATCCGAGCTTCCCGTCCAATTTACTAGAGCCCATATAAACCCACATGCAAGCCCAATAGCCGTGCTTCCGGTCTTGCCGAACGATCTCTCCGTGGCGGAATCATAAAGACATAAAATTTATAAAACACTGACAAAACAATTCGGTATTAAACAAGCCTACTTTCCTGTAAAGTACACTTACTTTCCTTTAAAGCACGTGTATAAGAATCCATACATGTCCAATACCTATATACAATGCAAGATATCCGAATATCCGATGGAAAAATCAAAAGGCCATTGGACATTCCATTTGTTAAATGGAACTGATGGACCTCTAAATTTCCATTGGACTTTGCGTGTCCATTGGATCCAATGGACAAATATAATGTCCATTGGACATTTGCTTTTTCTGTCTGTCAACAGAAAAAGTCTGTTTGTCAGATTTATCCAACGGATTAATCGGAACTATGCATACAGAATAAGAGACCATGTGAAGGTGCCGATCGCAACTATGCATCAACCGGATATAAGAGCTTCCGCGTTTCTACCATCACTTAATTAACTGGTTGCAAGACCCCCGTGTGGACAGGATTAAGAAACCAGAGCGATATTAATATAATAATAATATTTAATATTTATATTTCGCGATTTTACATATGTATATGATTAAGTGCGCAATATAATTACAGCCGAAACTGGCGTGAACCAGACCGAGGTAGACTGTGAGCTCACAAGTGGCGCTTTAAGCAGCCGCTATTAATCCATACCTCATTAATGATCTGCCGCCTAACCTAAGTGCCTAACCCACCCTGTCAACTTTCCTGTGGGAGGAAACCGGAGTACCCGGAGAAAACCCACGACTTTCGGCAGAGCGTTGACTTTTACTCTTTTCACATGAGGACTGGGTTCGAGTCACATTGACAAATTTTCATTGAGATTCGAACCTGCGATCTTAGAGGTGAAAGGCAAGTGCGCTAACCACTTGGCCACCGAAACCTCATAAGCCCCATGTTCCAATGGATCAAATAAATCCAATAGACCAATTATTGTACAACGGAATTTTACCAGTCGATTGGGTACCTGTCCATTGGAAATTACCTGTCAATTGAATACAATGGAAAAATAATATCCAAGTCAATAGTTAGTCATGTTGTTAGGAATGGCGCGGGTCCAACGAAAATGGCGCGGGTAACAAGTTCCAAGGCGAAAGTAAAAAGTTCCGAGGCGGGAGTAACAAGTTTCGAGATCAATTGCCCAGTACTTATATTCAAGATGTCTGCGATTTTGACGTTTCTTTCTATGGAAACTCTGCGAGTTTTAAACTTAAACTAACAGACATCAATTAACGTAAGAAAATGACGTTTGGAGGCGTTATACTTGGAAATGGAATATTTAATTGGAAGGAGTCACTGTCAGTGTATTCTTATTATTATACTAAGTACTAGTCTGTTAGTTAGGTAAAAAGATAATTTATCTAAATTCTCTATATAATTTTGGTTACAAAACCCCCACAATATTCTTAGCATTATTTACGGCTTAAAAATTAGTTTTTTATACCAGTAATCAGTATCAAAATTTAGTAATTTATGATATTGTTATTGAGCACTCTTTGTGTTTCATAAATTCATAAACCAAAACTCTGTGGCATGACACTTATGACAAATAATTTTTTAATACATGAAAATTGTGTTTCTTTACACCTTGTTTTGACCAAATTCATTCCATTGGACTTCTATCCAGCTTGACAGGCTTTCAAGGTAGGTACCTCCAACGGTTTTGGAGTGTTTATATTATAAACATTAAAATTATTACTGTTAAACTGTTTATCATTGAAAAAAGTGATTAATTAAGCCATTAAGTGGCAAGACTCTCCACTTGACGAGTATAATCTTCTGGCGTATTGCCACATAAAGGTTAAATTAAATTCAGCAAAGCAGGACCAGTCCATAATTTTTGCAATGATATATAGTTTAACAGTTAGTAATAACTTAATAATGTTTACAATGAATGCGCTAGTTTGATTCAGGGCCTTCCCCTCACGGGACTTGAAGAATTACTAGTCTGTGTATTACTAAACAAATGTACGCCATTATGTACGCAAATAAACTATGAAATTTTGATACGGATTACTGGTGTAAATAACTAATTTTTAAGCCGTAAAAAATGCTAAGAATATTGTGGGGGTTTTGTAACCAAAATTATATAGAGAATTTAGATAAATTATCTTTTTACCTTAAATAACAGACTAGTAATTAGTATATTATAATAAAAATACACTGACAGTTACTCCTTCCAGTTAAATATTCCATTTCTACCTGCCACTCTCTTTATGTTTAAAAATATGCTGAGTATAATGTCTTCAAACGTGATTTACTTAATAAGTTAATTGATGTCTGTTAGTTTAAGTTTAAGTTTAAAGCTTGCAGAGTTTCCACAGAATGAGATGATATTTGACTGAATAATTGCAGAATTTTCAGTCAAAATAACCGCCGTCTTGAATATAAGTACAGGACAATTTATTGATCTGGGAACTTGTTACCCGCGCCTCGGAACTTGTTACCCGCGACATTTTCACTGGACCCGCACCATTTGTATTGACTATATCACAGAGGGGAGATATACAGAGAGGGAACACGCGGCAAATTGTGTCACGCCGATATATTCAGTCTATTAACTATAGAAAATTATATTAATGCACTATTTTTTTTAATTTTGACAATGCAGCGGAAAAATCTATACGTATTATAGAAGTATTCATGTTTTTTTATGCGAGAGTTATATATTTGAGGAATTTATCATCATTTACAGCTTTGTTTTTTATATATTATGAGCATCTGAAATTGCCAACCAGTGCCATGGCCAGAAATTGCGGACATGGATTCTGAGCATGTGCGAACTTTGACAAACAAAATGGCGGACTTGTTATATATAAATTATTAGGAGTGTTATTTTCACGTGCTATCATATGATAAAATGACGGCAATCCATTCTTCATGCAATCATATCTACAAACGTTTCAACGAGATTTTACACATCAAGCTCTTCCAAGAAATGATCTCTGTCCTCAGTCAGTTTTTGTTTCGACAATTTAATGTGTACCCCCTCACCACCGCCCAACCCAAGTTATCTACACGTTTATAATTCGAAGAGAAGGTATTTTGTAGCGGCAGTTAAATTCAATTTTATTTCACTTCAATTTTTATTTCATCCCTCAATTTTTATTTCATCATCATGTCATATTTCGCTCCCCCCCCCCCTCGCCCCTCTTTATCTACGCCACTGCTTAATGCCTCACTTAATGCAAGGAACACCCTCTGTCAGCTATGCTCTTGTAAAATAATTTGCGAGTAGAAAAGTTAATCTCACAAAAATAGCAGCCAAAGCACCAACCAAATGACGAATATATTTCAATGTTTAGAATCAATATATAATTCAGAAAGAGTTGATAGAAGGCATATAATTATTAATAGTAGCAAAAAAGTTGAACGAACAGTGCCATCCGAGCAGCCCGTCCATATAAACACATGACAAGCTCAATAGCCATGCGTCTGGTGTTACCGAAGGGTACCTCGATGACGGAATCATATATATAGACATAAAGTTAATTAAAACGGATAGAACAAATGAACAATACGGTTTAAATAAAGTAAGTTTCCTTCAAAGTGCAGTTATAAATATCTTTTAAAGGACACGTAAAAGATTATATGATTAAACACACCTGAAAGTCAAAAACTCTGTCACCGTTTTCACGATTCATGGTATTTCGTAGAGGTGTGTTGCTTGAACTTCTGGGTACATGCAGATAGACATCAGCAATCGCATAATGATAAAATGTTGCAAGAAACAAATTGAAAAATAATAAAGTTGTCGATCGAAGCAATTTTATCCGCATTTCGTACTTCCTTACAATTCTGTTGACTAGCTCTGTTCGTTTGCTATAGATGCTGACACCACTGCAGTTGTTTATTTATAACTAAGAGATGAATAATTCATTAAGAGAGAAATTGGCTGTGATTTTATATTTCCGTTTTAATCCGCTGTGCCCACGCACACGTAGCATCAATTGTGGGCGGACATTAATTATAATATAAGCGCCACAAAAGGTACCTAATGTATTTCCTACTTGATATATATATATATATATATATATATATATATATATATATATATATATATATATATATATAAACTTCAAAATTTGGAATCTTAATTGCCAATGAAATGATTATTACCACTTCGGGTTAGTATGTCACGAAATAGAGTAAAGTGTTTAATTGGTTATTGCAGACAAGGTGTCGGTATCTCTACAATACCTCTCATTGGGTGAGCGAGTTGAAAAAAATTTTAAAAAAATCTTCTTTATTCTAAATCATCGGCTTGTTATATACATTGTGGATCGGCTTGTTATATACATGGCATGAAATAGATTAAAGTGTATAATTGGTTATAGCAGACAAGGTGTCGCTATCTCTATACAATATACCTCTCATTGGGTGAGCGAGTTGAAATGATTTTAAAATTATCCTTTTTATTCTAAATCATCGGCTTGTTATATACATTGTGGCTTGTTTTATACATTTTCAAATGGCAAAATATATAGACTAAATGATGTCATTCAAAATCGGTTAAAAATCAATTCCCAGAAATGCGATTTCAAACATTTTGGAGTGAAATTTTGCAGTATTGCGAAGATTATAGAACACATCAAAGACATAATTTTCCTCGAATTAAACGAATTAGAAAAGTAATCGATCTTAGAAAACTGGTGGAGCGGCCATGTCACCTTAGTTCTCATCTGTGATCCTGTCAGGAAGAATGCCAATTTTATTTAGATCAGAAATTATGCATTTATATTGTTGTTGTGTTATTTTCACATGCTATATGCAATGCCATATGATAATGATATACATATATTTAACAGTTAAAAATATGACGTAAATCCATTCTACTTGGAACTATGTCTGCAAAGTTAACGCTTTAACGAGATTTTACACATCAAGCTCTTTGTCCTCATTCGAGAGGTAAGCCCGTATTCTAAAAGCTCACTCACACTCAATGAATGGAGGTTCGATCTGAGCTTCTTTTGAGTGTCAATGCTGTTTTTAAAGAACGGCGTTGTTAGTCAGTTTTAACTTCGAGAATATAATGTGTACGCCCAGACCCCCCAAGTTCTCTCACTGTTATAGTAGGTGGTAAGTATACATTATTTTGTATTGGGCAACTCGTTCAGTGAATCAGTGTTCTCCCAGAAATTCAATAAGGTCGTCACTTAATGTTTTAGTGTTACAATGGGATAAAACCTAGACTAACTTAAGTTCGCACTTAATATCGATGTTGATACTGGATTGCTTGCTGTACGTTTCAGTGCCAAACTGTTTTTCTCAGCGATAGTGGTTCAGTATTATACAACAGCAGAAAAAGAAAACTAAACTCATTTTATAGTTATACTCCATAACTCGATCAGATGTAAATTGCATTTGGAGTTCCTTTGTGTTTGGCCGGGTGAATGGGCAACTGTGACTTACGTCAAAGGTACAGGAATGTAGCGATAAAAGGCACTTGTCATTGTGGCACAAACATACTCTATTTCAAGTAGATAGTTCTAACAGTTCGAATTCGTGAACATCTATTTTCCTGATTCGTGCGAAGCGTAGATGTTAACCAGTTCCTTGCCTGATGCAGCATGTTGTGGAAATATAATTGTTTGGTGTTTGTCGAACATCACGCTTCTTTTGTATTACTAGATCAGCCTATGCACGGATATTCGCCATGAGTGTGACTACTATAGCACCAGTAGTGACCAACATTTGATCGAAAGCTTGACCAAAGCCGCAGTTAATCCAGGAAAAGAAATAAACATGTCCTCAAAACACAGCAAATTAAACAATTAAATTTATTTTTACCATGCAAAGCTACAAGGTCAAAGATGGTGTTTGGTTTTATTACAGTGATGTCAAGATAGCGAAATATCTTAAGCAAAACACATTTATTGAGAAAAAAACCACAACAATCGTGAAAGCGAATATATTTTTATTTCAAGATAACGGAGAATCATCCATTAATTAATTCTAAAAATTCTTTTAGCTTTTAGACACTCCCACCCTATACATAATACACTATACATTTTGCAGTTATCTGATAAAAAATCTTATTAAAATTTGAGTAAAATTCAAGTGCCTGCAATTTTGCAATACTTTTTAAATATATATATATATATATATATATATATATATATATTAAGATGAAAATGTTCTCGAGTGTGTATTATATAGTTTCCATACCCAGCGCAAGCAGACAGATGTTGTCTGCCGCGACTGGGTCTTGAACATGCGACCTTCGCTCTACCAACTGAGCTACACGACCAGACGGATTTAAGACTGGAAATTATGAAATATAATTCTGGCCCTGTAGCTCAGTTGGTAGAGCGTCGATCTAGTAATTCGAAGATCACGGGTTCAAGACCCGGCCGCGGCAGACAACATCTTTCTTTGGAATCTTAATTGCCAATGAAATGATTATCACCACTTCGTTTTAGTATGGCATGAAATACATCAATTTAAGTGTATAATTGGTTATAGCAGACAAGTTGTCGGTATCTCTACAATACATCTCCTTGGGAGAGCGAGTTGAAATGATTTTAAAAATTTTTTTATTGTAAATCATCGGCTTGTTATATACATTGTGGATTAGGCGACGGCCAGGGCTGCAAAGTTTTCAAATGGCAAAATATATAAATTTTATTTAGATCAAAAATCATGCATTTATATTGTTGTTGTATTTTTTTCACATGCTATGCAATGCCATATTATAATGATATACAGGGTGTCTAAAAAAACGCTATGGAAATTCAACAGGCTGTCGTGCATCATAAACGTGGCTCACTATTTAGCTTTTGAAAGACACTCTTTTTAAATCGAATAGATGGGAAATCGCCACATACTCGTCAAACAAAAATTACTGGTCGAAATCACATTCTTCCACCGTTGGGAATCGCATGGAAAACGAAACATAAACAATTCCCAAGATGGAATTAAAATTGAATGATAAATTATCTATATAAAATAAGCTCAATTCGTCAATCTTCGTCTTACCATAAGAACGTTCATTATTGCATAAAAAATTAAATAGTTCAATTAACTTCTGAACAGAGAACATTCGCAATCAAAACATTTTACGAAACAAGTTCCTTGTAGCAGACTCGCTGTGCTTTTGGATTGATGAACTTTGCATATTTAATGTATTTTCAATTTCCAACAGTGCATGAAGAATGTGATTTTGACCGAAAATATTTATTTGAGGAGTATATGACCATTTCTCATCGTTCCAGTTTAAGAAATATATCATAGAATAGCTAAATAACAATTCTTTCGTCCTATGCAAAAATTGAATTGTTTAGTTAAGTTTGTAATGCACAACAGCCTGTTGAATTTCCGTAGCGTTTTTTTTTACCCTTACAAAAATTTCACATTAAAGTTCATATATGAAATTGGAAGTTAAGTTTGTAATGCACAACAGCCTGTTGAATTTCCGTAGCGTTTTTTTTTACCCTTACAAAAATTTCACATAAAAGTTTTTTTTTACCCTTACAAAAATTTCACATTAAAGTTCATATATGAAATTGGAATTTCATATATGAAATGAAGATTTTCATATTATATGAAATGAAGATTTTCATATATATGAAATGAAGATTTTCATATATGAAATTAGAATTTCATGAAATTAGAATTTCACATGTGAAAAGGTAATTTCATATATGAAATTTCAGTTTCATATATGTGAAATTCTCTTTTTCACATATTAAATTTCCATATATGAAAAGCAGGTCATATATGAAATTTTAATTTCATATATGAAAAACTAAATTTCATATATGAAATCCATTTCACATGTGAAATTTGGTAATTTCATATAAGAATTTCCATATATGAAAATCAAGTCATATATGAAGTTTAATTTCATATATGAAAAACTAAATTTCATATATGAAATCCATTTCACATGTGAAATTTGGTAATTTCATATAAGAATTTCCATATATGAAAATCAAGTCATATATGAAGTTATACAATTCACATATGAAAAACTAAATTTCATATGTGAAATCCATTTCACACTGAAATTTGGTAATTTCATATAAGAATTTTCATATATGAAAATCAAGTCATATATGAAGTTATACAATTACAGACACCCTGTAAATGTATTTAACAGTTAAAAATATGACGTAAATCTTTTGTGCTAGGAACTATATCTCCAAACGCTTTAACGAGTTTTTGAACATCAAGGTCATTGTTCTCACTCGAGAGGTAAGCCCGTATTCTAAAAACTCACTCACACTCAACGAATGGTGGTTCAATCTGAGCTTCTCTTGAGTGTCAATGCTGTTTTTTAAAGAAGGGGGTTAGTCAGTTTTATGTTCAAGAATGTAATGTGTTCCCCCCCCCCCCCCAATGTTCTCTCTCTGTTATAGTGGGTAGTTAAGTACATTATTTTGTACTCGACAACTCCGTCAGTGATTTAATGTTCTCCAAGAAATTTAATAAGGTCGTTACTTAATGGGGAGATAATAGAAATTTTCCGATCGTTGGATTTCACAGAATAAATTGTTCGGATTTCGGATTTGGCGAATGTTTTACACGGATTTGCGGATCTTGTTAATACAGCGGATTTATGTAATATTTTGGCACGGATTGTGGATTTAACTTGCAATTTAGTTCGGATCCTGGATTGTGACTTCATAGTAGAGCTTTTAGCGGATTCAAATTTAGACATGACCATTGTCGGATCGCGCATTTTGCTTCAAATTTTGGCGGATTTGCGGATATCCCTATTCACCTTCCCCCTTAATGTTTTAGTGTTACAATGGGATGAAACCTAGATAAACTTAAGTTCGATCGCACTTAATATCGATGTTCATACTGGATTGCTTGCTGTTTCAGTGCCAAGCTGCTTTTCTCACCGATAG